GAGAGGTGCCCTTCAAAGCCACTTTGAAGTGATTTAACTGATCTCTCCATCGTTACCATACGTTAATGCTGTCATATTAATAACAACAGCACGCAAGATTAGCATTCTGAAAAATAAAATGATCAATTTTAGCAGTTTGTCTAGCATTGTAATTTTTGCTGTGACGTGTTGGGGGCTCGGTGATACATGTTTATCCGGCCCTGGAATAGATGTCCTTTAATCACTATTTCATGTGTGTTTTTCCAATTTGATATGGGTAGGCAGACACATATAATTGACACTGTAATAATATGATTTCTGAAGCTGAAGATAATTTGGCTGAAGTTTTGTCATCATTTAATTGAAGCAAATGTTATGTCTTATATTTACTGGTAACATAGCCAAACTCTTGTCAACCTTCTCTGGCATTTCTTATAACATAATAAAATCTAGCCATATCCACAAGAGCTAATATACGACTTTAATGGGTTCAGTTCTATCCTCAAAAAGAAGGGGGCTTTTAATAGGAATTAGTGAAAAGTTCATTCTGCACTGATAAAACAGCATCAGGTGATGTGGAAGAAATGGAGAACCTTCATGTCTGGTTTGACCCATGTGCTGGTTTTTCTCCAGACCAGTAGTGGTACACTCTGTTCTGGGAGGGTATTTCATGAAGCATAATCTTATCCATCCATATTTTCAAGAGGCAATTTTTTCACATTGTGCTCTGTCAGCAGAAAATAAGTAGGGTCAAATGAACATTAGGTATAAGTAATCCTGCTCTAACATACAGTAAAATTTAACTATGGAGTTGTTAAAGCGTGGAACAGCTTTCCAGGCCATGCAGTAAAAGCAGAAACCCTTGGAATGTTCCAGTCCATGATTGGCACAGTGCTGGTTTACTCTCTATAGACAATCCATTGCCACAGGGTTGGCGCGCACCCAGTTTTTTTTTCTCCACCAATCACCATGGCTCAATTAGCTTATTAGCTATATACAGGTTCATTCATAGACATAAAGCTACGCTACACGAACAATATCGAGATATTATTAATTAATGTGTCAGTTACATTCAACAAAAAAATGAGATGACACAAGAGACTGAGCTACTTAATTGAGTGCACAGATTGGTATTAAATTCAGATACAGAAATGGCTGTCTCTGCCAAACCCTAGCATAAACAGTGAGTAAACAACATGCCTCGATGGACAGAATGACCTTTTCTCATCATTATATACTCTTATGTTTCTTATGGAACAGCTGCAATTTGCAGCGTAATGTACCTGGTGGTTTTGTGGGCCGTGACGGACACATTGCGGGAGGTAATTGTGCCGTTGCTGAACCTTTACCCCCTGCTGAAGTCTCGGGAGTGCTGACGCTTCATTATCAGACCACCGACGTCCATAACGTGGGGTTATGCGCCGCTAATCGAGTCATGGCATTTACTGCGCGAACTGCAGTTTCTGAGTGGCGTGGACACGCCATCGAAGGAGGTAACGGTGGCTGTTGACGGGGTTTCCTCCTCCTTGAACATAGTTCATTGTCCTCTGTAGAGCTGAAGGGGATACCCTGACATTTTGCTAGTGAATGCCCTTTGTCCGCCTACCCAAAGAAGAGGGACTTTCTGTCACAGTATTCTTTTCTGGCGTAATAAATACACAGAGTGCAAAGGGTCATCCACCCAGCTGTGGAGGTGCTAAAAGGTGTACTAATTTTTGAGATGGGCTACTTACAGTACAGTTACACAATGCATTCCATAGATTCAGCGTTGTGCTAATGCACTTAGCATTTTTCCCGAATCCTATCTGCGTTTACATACAGCAAACGCAGAAATAAGCACTGTATCAGTGGGTTTCAGTTCAATGGTTTTGATTACCAAAAATTCCAGAATATTCCTTCACGTTTAGACAGTGGTGCCAAAGCAGAATACCTGAACAGGTGGGTCTCAGGTAAGTAATCAAAGGTGAATGGAAGTGACCAGGCATGATATGCAGAGAAACCAAAGACTAAAATATGGTAAAAAAAAATTTTTAAAAAATCTGTCTGGATTAAGAAATTGTTATGGGTCTGGTTCATATCGACATTTAAGAAGTAGTCTATATTATTTAGCATATCAAAGGCATGTCAATTCAAGCCAATACTCTTGGAATTTGACCTTTATCTCTCCAAGTGAAAGACTGCTGAAAATAGATGGAAGGTCCTTTTCTGCACATCCAAATCCATACTAGTGATCAATTTGAGAAAGAGTACCAAAGATTGAGTAATGAATACGGTGAGAAGGACGTGAAATGTGAGCTCCATATGCAAGTAAATAAATGGCAGGTTGATAAATCCGGTTGATATATTTAAGGCTGATTTTTCCTGGAGTACTTATTTTTGACGTTTATTTGTAAGGGCATGCTGTCCTGCACTGAGGACACGGAATGAATGGCAGATTGTTACCAAGCCATGCTGATGTTCGGCCATAGATAGAAAACCAGAGTGTATTGTGAAGAAAATTAAAACCTATATTGTCAGGCTACATTAAGGTTCCAGTGAACTCACTCAGTTGATTAAATGGCCAACCAATTAACTGAATCTGTCAAAAATCACCTGGTTGATTTAAGTGAACTTAATTTATCTGTAAAAATATTTAGCATCATATTGTACTAAAATTACTTGGGTATAAATTGCAGATCAGCTGATCAACCAATCAGTCAACGAACCAATCAATCAAACAATCTGTCAGTCAGTCAATCAATCAAAAAATGTATTTTCCAATTGTTACGGTTACTGTGTAGTTATAGCAAAACATGTGAAAGTGTACAGCCATGACATCCCCTCATGCTCAAACTGGCTTTTGGAAATTTCAAACCGCCAACACGCTCTCCCCCACATGCGACGGCTAGCATCTGGGGCACTCGGTAGCCAGAGGATTCTTAGCTTCAGGCACTCCAATCCCCTCCCACAGCTCTGACCCCCAGCAGCATTCGGTGGGCAGTCTGGACAAACAAAACGTTTGTTGTCCTCACGTGGCACCAACTCCCTCTACAAGCATCTTGTCCAGTTCTTCTCCTGTTGTTCTTTCTCTTTCTCTAAGTTACATAGTTTGGTTCATTTGTTTGTAATTTACAGACTTCTTTGTTTGCACTCAAGCTGCTCAAATTGTTCGCTCTGCTTTTGAGCCAGATCGGCATAACAAATTCGAAGCAAGTCGATTTTCTTTTCTCCGCTGAGTTACACAACTTCGTCAGGTTTGTCATGAGGTATCCTCCTTCTGAGACGTCTTCTCCACCATTTTGATTTGATTTTCCTCGACTGAAATGGCATTAATGTTGAAGTGACAGACAAACATGCAGAGCAAAAATCAGAAAGCGACATAAAACTCACTGTGTTCAGTTCTTGAGGGTAATGTGTTGTGATTTGTTTTGAGGACCCAAAGGTCACACGTTAACAGGATACAAATAAGGAGGCATTTCCCCTTGCTGTGCAGTAATTTTTGGTCCGAGCTTTTACCTAAGCCCTCTCTCTCTCAAGGGGGGCTGCGTCGGTGGATGATTAGTTGATCTGGCCTGTAGAACTTCAGCCCGATTTGTTCTAAGCAGTCAAATGCAGACACTCATCTATAATGAAAAGGGATCAGGCCCTTGCAAAGCCATTTCCGGACTTGTAATCTGCAACACTGAGCAGAGAGAGAAGCAGAGGAACAGAAAGAGAACAGGTGACTTTTAAAAAAAACAACTCAGCTAAGCTCAGCTGAGGGTTGACCCTTAACCTACGACCCCTTACTTTCGACCTTCTGAGTCACTGAACTTCCTGGTGTTCCCCTGGGTCTTCAGTATTCAGGAGCCCTCTGTCAGCCCACTACAGCATCGCCAGGCAGCCGCCCCAGAACCACCACCCAATTCAAACCATCACAGCATTGAAATGTCAGTTTTGTAATTAGAAAACGTAAAGCTATTTCCAGCATGCGTCTCCCAATTCTCGGGGGTCTCCAAGGTGGCGGGAAAGAACAATTGGCTTTCGCTTAATCTTACTCAAATTAGATCCTCAGTACCAAATTGCGAAGAAAGTCAATACGATAAAGCAGAGGTATCGATCGCGCGGTCTCATGTAGGGCTTTGATGATTAGCATACATGGAGGCACACAGTTAATGTTCCACAAGGGAGTTGTCTCTCTTATATGTCTCTGTGCACTTAATGCTCTCTTAATCCAGTTAATGCACTTCTACCTTCAGCCAGACATGCTGAGAAAAGCTCGGACAGGGTTGGACCATAAATTCGAGGCCAAAATGATGCACCCAATATCGTGGTATCGAAGCCAGACTGGGAACTTTTAAGTCTGTCAGTTTAATAAGAGAAAGCAGCAGCGCTACCGGCCTTGAGGGCCAGTTTTGAGCATCCTTGTTATATAGCCTATGAACACCGACTGTCGAAGCTGGTCCTCAGTCGGCAGTGCTGCTAATTTGTATGCAGCTGATTGGTCAATGCACCTGCCTGACCTGGTGTGCCAGTTCTAAATCAGTCTCTGATTGGTGCTTGGCAATTAAAACAACTTGGTGCAAGACTGAATCTGTACGTTGGATTGTGAGTCTCTAGTTTGTATTGTGACTCGGTGACAGAATGGGGAAACCCTGGGTCACCTGTGAATCCTGTCAGATTGTGAGCCTACGAATCTCTATGCTCAACCGTGAATCTCATGTTGGATTTATTTTGTGTAACATCGTGAATCCTAATATCGTGTTGTGGGTCTGCGCTAGAATTATGAAGCTCTGGGCTAAACTGTGAGTCTTTATGTCAAATTGTGAGTCACTGGGTGTATCTGTACTCCTGTCTGATGCTTAGACTTGGGCGTTGTTGACTCTCGAGTTGAGCATTTGACTCTAGAGCCTTCTGTGTGAATGGCTTTGGGGAAGGCTACATGAGTCAGGGAACTGCAAATCCACGGAAACGCCTAAGGACAGGAAGTGCACCCAAACACAGGCCTTGCAGCAGCAGATGCAGCAGGATATAATCAACAGAGGACAACAGTACTACCATGCACCCCAGTAGCTCATCTGGTAGAGTGCGTGCCATGTAAGCCCAAGACCTTACTGCAGTGGCCCAGGTTCAAATCCAGCCTGGGATTTGCAGGCCTCACAAGTGCAAGGCTACCAGTGCAAAGTATGAGGCCTGGAAACAACATCAGAGAGGCAAAGAAAAGCAAGACAGTGCAGGCCTTGGACCCTACAACTATAGGGGGGGGGGGGTTTCAAATGTGTAAAAAAACACAATAGAATTTTCAGTGACAATAGTGTGTTGTCAAGTGACAGCACCCAATGTAGAGCAGTCTGCAAAAAAACTTTTCTCTGTTGTTAAGCATAAAGGTTTATCAGACTTTGATGCATTGAATCATGGTCAACCAATAGGATAAGGTCTAGAGCAGGGTCACAACAGCCTCCAGTTAAGATAACTCACAATGTTACCTTTATTATGAGTACCACAATGCTTTCCTGGAAATCTTCTAATGCATCACAAGGGAAAGCACAGTATAACATTGTGACCTGGTCTTTCACTTTGCACTTACATCATAACTTTATTTCGCTGACAGGCAATGACACAAAAACAGCAAATGTGTTGACATATGTTATATTACCGGCCTTAACATTTTATTACTGATGAAATAAGATATATTGATTTATTTCTCTATGCTTCTGTGTAACGCTAAGCACTACACTCAGCTGCACCAAAGAGAAAGAACCTGGACTACCAAATTTGTGTGCAAGGGCACCTACGTAGACAAGAAGATGCAGGCCTAGTGTTCAATCCTGAGACTTTGACGGCAGGTAGAACACCAAATGGAAAGAGAGGCAGTGAAGGAGGTTAAAGTGTCAATTTTTTATTGATTTTTTTTGGCGATGCACAATCAAATTGGGATGGTATTTCCTCGCCATGTATCGCCAGGGAAACCAGTTGGGTGCAGCGAGTCTTGAAAAGAAGAAAGATGTGTAAATTGCGACTGAGCAAGGACAGAGCGGCAGTGGTACTGAGTAAATAGAGAAACGTCAAGAGGCACCCAATCGCAAACAGCAATTGAGTTTTATTGATTTTAATCACAGCCTCCTCCACCGCAACCCCCCCCCCCCCCCCCCCCCCCCCCCCCCCCCCCCCCGACACCTCCACACCGTATCCACTAAGCAGTACCTTTGAGAACCATGACAGACAGAGCAAACATCCACAATATCAAAATGTGCTCTCTCCCCTGCTTTTCTCTCTCATTCTGTCTCCCTCATTCTCTTTTTGACTTCAAGCATTATGATTCGAGCATTCGGATAAATCTTGACTGCAACATAAATAAAGCTATTCTCTCATTTTCTCTCTCTCTTTCTCTCTTCTCTCTCTGTTTCCCCTTTCTCTCTTCTATGGCACCAAGCAAGATGAGGAAAGCAGTAAAATTAAGTCTGCTAATATCCCTCCAGGACCGGGCTGTTCTGTTCATAGATAACACAAGCCTTCGAACCCAGGGCCACTGTAAATCTGCCCTGTTCTGCACTGATGGGGGATGCTGGTTATATAATCGGAACGCATAGGTTAATTACTGCAATCTTCCAGCTGTATTAGTCGAGGAGGCCAGGCCAACTGGACCCTGAGGTCCTTTGGCCCTTAGGAATGTATATTACGGATTCTATTGGGGGAGGGCATTGGATAGGCTTATCTCTATAGGTGCTCAGTTTCTGATAGAACATCATGACTGGTTTGTTAACATATCAGTCCTAGCTTCCAGCAATCTGATTGGTGCTGTCAGATTTTCTGAAATGTGGATTGATTGGTTGTTGGCAGTCTATCATTACCTCACACACCTTCCAAGCTCATCAGAATTCGATACCTCGTCAGAGGTAGCAAATGACTGTTTTTCTGTCGCGAAAGCACATCCCTGGAAGTTGGGCAGAGTTATACCATATCAGAATGAGAAAGTAGTCAGGCTCTGAGTTTCATGAGTCTGACAGATGAGTCCAGCTGTTGTACGGCTCACCTTGTTCAGACAGTACGAGCAGTTGGACACCTGCAACATTCCTCCACAGTCTACAGATGAAGTGCCTCCTTCAACTCAACATCTGTGCGAGCTCCACTTGTTAGACATCTTGTCCCACTAGCAAGCAAACAAGCGATTCTAAAGCGATACGCATACTGTCCTGAAACGATCCATCTGATTTCTCAACCAGATAAAATCAAAACAATGCAGGTGCCAAGTTTGCTGGGACAAGCCCAAACACTCTGAAACAGTCACTAGACAGCACTTTACTGGGTGACAGTGTTCACTGGATTCGTTGACCAGACAACCTGATCTTACATAATACCGTATATATTTGTGTAGAATACGCACTTGTATATAAAGCGCACCCCTATTATGGGCAATGAAATCCTGGAAAAAAGTATCTCTCGTGTATAATACGCACTGACTTTTTCTTACTATCATTTCAGGCTGTAAGATGTGGAGATTGCTGCGGCCATGTAACGATGTATGGAAAAAGGAATGTTTTGTCAATTTATTTAATTGCTGCATAAAATACTGAATGAAATCATATTTGCGTCATTACCAGACTTATGCTATCGTGCATTGATTACTTTGGAGAATCTATGAAATGCATTTTTTTTTTTTTGCACATACAGGATTGTCTGTAGTGAGTATACCAGTTTCACTATCTGAATGATAATCAAGTTATGCATCTTAAACCCGAAGTTGGCACTCCTCCCACATAGTGATTTAATTCTTCGTTACAGATCAGTTAGCCTGGACAAAATATTAGGGGTTTAACGGTATGTGCGTTTGTCTGGAACCATTCAGTACAAGACGTTCGGTCTGATAAGCGACTTCCTCGGTTCGGTAAGTCCTGTGACCCAAACAATGTATGTCTGCTACTCGTTCACGTGGAACAGAAATTCTACAGCGCGAATTTTACCTGGAAAGTTTTGTCAGTGCACCAGTTGTTGTCCATCAGCTGTAGCATGCTAGTTGGCTTAGCCCGGTTAGCCAGGTTAGCCAAACCCATGTAGTGTTTCTGTCAAACACAAATGAAAGACCAGAGCTGGAGGATGTCCCCATGACATTTAGGTCTAATGTATGGGAGCAGTACGGTTTCCTGCTTAGTTACATTGAAAATGGACAACAACTAGCGCCAAACTGTATACCGATATGTTCAGCTGAAATCGGGTAAGTCTGTGGATACACTTCAAACATGTCATTTATGACGGCATCACACAAATGTGTCGATAAGCACAATGAGACAAAAACAGACAGGAAGGCAAGTCCTTCTCCCCAGAGCGTTCAAGCAGCCTCTCACTGCAGATTCAGACTGTGCTAAAGTAATAACTAATGCTATAGGAGTGAGAATCGGGATTAACGTGGAATTATTACGTTACAGTGTAGCATAATTGTAAGGAACTGGGATTTTAACTCAGAGATTGCAGGTTCAACTCCTAGGTGGATCTCTGTTGCTGTGCCCTTGAGCCTGAATTACATACCAAGACTAACATGCTTCTGTAAATATTGAAGTGCATAAATGGACTGCAGGTGATATAAATTATAGGAACAACACATTGCAGGCTCTATAAATAAATACCTAAATGTAAACGCAAAATGGAGGAGGGAGACCATGACCTTGTTGGTGGATTTTTGAGGGGGAGGGACATGGGGGAGCTGTATTTCGAGGTGCCAGGGGTTCACCCCCGCTCCTTTGGGCCCTGGGCCAGCTGAGGGTGTCTTACCTTAAATGATGGTGCGGAGTGTATTTGGGCTAAAAGCCGCCTTTGAAGTAAGGGAGAGGAAGTGTTTATCTGCTGTGGGCTGTTAGCGAGCAAATGCGGCCTGATTACATAAACTGAGCTGATCTGGGATGGCACTGGTGAGGTTTCTGTGAAGGCCGTGTGAGGTAAAACCATCAGGCTTTTCTGGAGAGGCAGCATACGAACGAAAGCTCAGCCAATTAATATTTCCATCACAGCGAAAATAAGCATGGCTGATTTTTTTTTTTTTTTTACATTTTTGATCCAGTTATTAATAGCATAACTATAGATTCACGGCAGAGTGCTGTCGCAGTGTTGAAGGTTACAACATACAAGTCTGCATCATCTCGAAAAAATTGATCGGGATTCAGAAAATTTGTCCTTAAAGGCCCGGTTAACTCGTCCTTATGTATTTTTTCGCTGATATATCAGATCCTATAATGATAAACAGTGCTGCAGAGTCATCCGAATCCAAACATTTATGTCAGTGAAAATATTGATATTTTGGCCAAAAAATCCAGTTTTCTGACTTCCTCTTCGGGGTCCGAATCCACACCTGTGCTGTCCATTTTTTCCGCGCAAGTCTCTCACTCTCACATGCAGAATATGTACTTAAGAGCGGATCTGAATTCGGCCTAAAATTATTTCCCATAACGTTTCCCATGACATACATTGCATATATTTCAGATTTGATTATTCTGTTAATAAAGTTACAGCACAAATTAACACAAATGTTACATTTCCTACTAGTTCTGTGAACTCCTACATAACCACTCTCTGCTTATGCATTACGAGTATTTCAGGTACATGTGGCTGGAATTGGCCTGTAACACAACACTGCTTTATTTCATGAACATAGACCACAATTCAGTCCATAGTTGTGCCTAACTTTGGCTTTTAATTACATTCAAATTGTAATTTATTTTAATTTAATTTAAATGGAAGCACTCATAACAGAAGCAGCTTGGCAAAGGATTGCAATCAATGTTAGCTCACCGGTTCATGAAGAACAAAACAAACACTTGCCAGCAGTTCCAAATCAAAGTTAAGGACAGAGGGAGAATACAGCCAGTTGAAACACAGAAAGCCGAGGTTCCCCATCCATGTCTATGACCCCAGACCACCACTAGGGGTCCTTCCACCAAAAGTCTTAATCAGTTGTTGTGCGTTCAAATTTTCAGCCTCATGACAGGGGCTTTGCTCTTGTGAGAGGAATTCAGCATTTTTCGGTTTGTGGAGGGAGAGGGTACACTTTTTTAATAGTGAGCAGATAGATTTATCCGGTAGAAGCTGGGATTTTTCACAGTTCAGAAATTTTTCTGAGGGGGTTTGTGGGAAAAAAATAAAACATTGACATCTACAAGG